AAGTTCGGGTATATTGTTGTTATCCTGGTACGTCCATCCATCTATCACCCTTCTTCTTCTTCTTCAAACTACTCCAGGCTTACAATTTAAGCAGTAGCTAACTCATCTTTTCAACTGTTCAAAAAATGATCAAGCGCGATTTTTTTTCTTGGTGTTTATCATGTTCCCCGCTGATCGTTAGATATTTTTAAATCAATAAATCGGAAAAGTATAGCTTTACAAAAAATGGGATAATTTCTAATTCTTTAATAAGTATTAAGTCGGCGAATATTCTTCACCCGATAACCTGGATTACTGCTATCCTGGATACTAACTTAATTTAGAACGTCTATAAATGAATGAAGTGTTAAAAATATCTGAATTTACAGATGCGCAAATGAAAAAGAGGAAAATACATGACATTAATTTTTTATGCCATAATAAACATTTATTGTTATTTTGAATCATATCCTCCCATTAAATTCTGCATCATAAAATCAAATAGAATCAAACTCACCGTCCACTTTCATTATATGATATAATATGCGGAAATATTAATCGATCATTTATAAAATTATTGCATCTGAACATTTCGAACAATTCAAAAAATATTTCAAGTTGTTAGTAGCTGACCAACTATGACTTAAATGAATAAATATTTGTACTCTAATATTCTATTCAGTCTTATTTCGTTTTGAAAATGTACATTCCTAAATATTTTGTAAGCAATCGTGATCGTTCGTGTAGGAGCGTGTGCGTGAAAGATCGTTCATGTAAAGGGTTGAATCATGCGTTATTCGTGCGGAATCGTTCGTGTAACGTGATCGTTTGTGTATTATGTCGACAATAACGTTGAACCACTGTAATTTAAGAAGAGAAATTAAGAAAAACTAAGTTTGAAGCGAATTAAGTTAGATTGGCAAAGTACTTTGCATTTTTAATGCCTTTATCCTTAAATATACATGTATACAAGAAGTGGCTGATTTTCCTGAACTTTCACATCTCATTTGGAATTGTAATGTTTTTTTTCTCAACCAACAGTGACAAGTACCTCTTTTCTCATGAGTTCATCTAAAAAAAAATATAAGACCAAGAAGGGATATCAAATAACTAAATATAGATACAAGTGACAGGCCATGAGCTTGATTTGCCTATCATATTACTGCATTATCTCAGATAAGTGCATATTAAAACACAAAGCATGTGTTGAAAGAATTTTATTGTGGCGCACATTGGGCAAAGCTGAAAATTATCAATGTTATAAGTGTCTCTGGTTCTACAATAAATGGGCCGCTACAATGTGCAGGATCTACAACGTAACAATGGAAAGGCTACCAAAAATAACGAACCAACTATGCATCACGACATAATCAAAATTCACACAATCATGAAATATATAAATCAAGATTCAGTCTTCATGGTTAAAGTTTCTAAACACAATTTTGAAACATTTTGAATCATGTGGTAGAATGCTTTAAAGTAAGTGCATTTAAAAATATACTCTAATAAAGGATTTTAGATTTTTAAAATTTTAGAAGTGTGCGAAGGGAATATGGTTGCAATGTTTCTTCATTGATGAAATATATGAAGATAACGAACAGTATTCAGGCTCAAATGTCCATCAAACAATACAAAATAGGAGCAGAGCAAACACGGACCTCTAAACATCAGAGGTGGGATCAGGTACCATGGAGGAGTGAGCATCCCCTGCCGACCGGTCACACCCGCCGTGTGCTTCTTGTCATGATCGGGAAATAACGGGAAAATCCGTCGACAGTTCAGTGTGTAAATAATGGCCTAACAATTTGTATGAAAAACGTCAGTCAGCATTTGACTCAATGATAAATTGTATTTGCTGACAAGGTCATTGTATCGACCATAGAACTTACGAAATGATGACTTTAAACGAGACAGCTGATATTCTTGTTTCATCAACTTGTTTGTCAATAATTTACCTCGTTTTAGAAATTGTACATACGTAGAGCATGCCCTTGCGTATCAAATCAACTGAGAGATATTTTCTTTCTTATACTCCTATTGTGAATTTGTTTCCATGATACCCAAAATGAAATATATCTATAAACTTAACATACATTTTTTTTTTTAGAACTTTCAGTACTAAGACAATGTCATTTGAACCAAATTTTAAGTAATTTTGATTACGTGCTGATTAACAAAAATGGGATTTATTTATGCTAAAATACTTCTGTTTATCCATGACTTTCATCATTAAAAAAAATCGCGATCTGTATATTTTGTGATTATTAATTATGTTAAACAATATTCTATGGAAATGAATGCTGTTTTCAATTTTGAATCCATAAACTGTAAGTGAGGAATCGCCTTAAACAGATTCATCATTGTGTAAGATAATTACTCAGTTCTCTTAATTTACGCCAAAAGTTCCCCATTGCAAACATATTGCCGTAGGGAAATTGCCTCTAAAGTAAGTATTTTTGTTCCAAGTTACCTATGATAAATTTATTTGTACAGGTGCTTGCCCCAGACATTTCATTTTCTACTGACCATTGTTATTGCAAGATTGCATTTTTGCCTGCAATGCAACCAGGACGTGTTAGAAAAGATTCAAAATCACTAGTTATAGTAATTTGCACATACAGGCCATAGCGTATTTACAAGTTGCACAGACTTTAAAGTAAACGTTCTTTATCATGATCTGAAACAAAAATTCCTTTTTAAAAAAGCTAAATAATCGTTTTGCTGACATACTGTATTCTCAAAAATGGCTCAATTAATTCATGAAATCAAATTAAATCGTAAGTGAAATGTGATGCAAAGTCCTTTTCCCCACCGTATTTCCTCACTTGAATTCAACTATTTATATTTTGTTCTGACAAAAATAAGGCAATATGGCAAACCATCCTGAATCATTCATCACTCATTTTATATTAAACGAACACAACAATTAACTGAAACATAGGTCATTTCTTGAATTAAATTGTTTTGTGCAAAATGCTTTCACAGTATGACTCCAGATATTTTTGTTTTAGAACGTTTTTATACCTAGTTTCATTAACTTTACACATTAATTTTACATTTCAAACTAGTACAATGTTTTTATCAATTCCAGGTTTTGCATCAAAGGCAGAAGATACAGAGCAGGATTTCACGTGGCTATATATCCTACTTAGCGTCCTCGTATTCATAATCATCATTTCAGTCATTATTGTCCTCATCAAGTGTAGCTTCAAGAAGAGGGAACAAGTGTACCCCAACAAAAACGAAGATATTATCATTTCAAAACCACCCATAAGATATATATTCACGTGATTAGGATTTTTAAGTCTAGAACCCGATGTACTTGCTAATGAAAGTAAGTCGTGTGAAGAAAAGAAGAATGGTTCAAACAATTTATATTGTCTTTCTTCAATGATGAAATAAACACTTAATATTCTGCCTGTATATTGCAGATAGTATAACCTGACACAACAGTCAGTTCATTGATTTATTGTGTAAATGGTAAAGTGCTGAAACAGAACAAAAATAGAATTACTTATCAATAAAAAGATAAATAATATCAAAATATAACTATAGATATAGCATAAACTGTATAAGAAGTTGTAAATGGAAATATTCAAGAGGTACATAGAAATAAAGATTCATTTATCCTGGTTTCCATATATAGAAAAATGTTATGAACGTACTCCAGTTTTATGTTTAAAGGTTATGACAATAATAGTGTTCCATACTTAAGAGTGATAATAATATATTCCTAATACATGTATATTCAAATTACAAATATTTCATTCAAAAACAGTATAAATATAATAAATATACGCATAATAAATAGAAACAGCACAGGTTTACTTACAGTGTGTGGCAGCATAAATCAGAAATTAAACATAGTGGCATGAGTCTCCTAGTGTGGGTTTCACAAAGGAAATTAACACAGGAAGTGAGGAATTTAGGAAAAGTAACTCTGGATTTACAAATAAAAAGATAACTCTAGAAATTATAGGACAGATAACTATTTGATTAAGAAAGATAACTCTTACTCTGTAATAAATAATTTAGGAAAATAAATATAGATATATAAATAGAATGTTCATAAACTTTACACTCCCGTCTGATATCTGAGTATATCACTATGAACCTATTTACATAAGATGTTTCAATATAACAAAGTCAGTTTCTAAGAATCTGGAATATTGTTACGTGCAATTACAGTGCAATCAGGAGCACAATCTCTGTGACCGGACGCGTATAAAACACATTAATACCGTCTCTGTTCACACGGCGCCTTACTTTACGGACTTTCTTGTCAGATTCACTTTGGTACACTTGTTCCACCACTGATATCTTCCAGTCACAACGATGTGCTGAGTTATCTTTCAATAAAAAGACATCACCGATAGATAAATTTCTCTGGTTATGTGTCCACTTCTGTCGACTTTGCAGCGTGACTAAGAATTCTTGACGCCATCGTTTCCAGAATAGGTTTGCGAGTAGCTGAACTCTCTCCCACTGTGACTTGAATGCATCCTTCTCTTCAAAGGGTCCAAGTGGTTCTCTACCTTTGTCCGTCTTCTGGGTCAAAGGAATGCACGGAGTAAGTATGAATGGGTACTCCGGATCCGTTGAAACTGGCACTAGCGGTTTTGAGTTTATGATAGCGCTTGCCTCTGCCAAGATTGTAACAAGGCTTTCATGTGTCATCTTCTTTGCAGTACCATCTATCAACAGGGAGTCTTGGATTCGTCTTGTAAGGCCTATCATCTTTTCCCAGGTTCCACCCATGTGGGAGGAATAGGATAGGGTAGATTGAAGATCCATACTGTTCAATTATCCAAAAGAAACTTCTTGACAGGTCCATCTTCTATATTAACCACTTCGATTCCTAGAATTTCTATTGATCCCACGAAATTTGTTCCACGGTCCGATCTGAACTCTTTAACATGGCCTCTTATAGGTGCCACTTTTTCTTTACCGAGTACAAAACCTTGATGTAAATTGCCATCTAAATCTATCGCTCTAATAAAGGCAACTGCGGCAATTGCATCTTATGACTCATCTGTGAAAACATGAACATCTTTCCTGACGAGACTCTCAGTTGGCACGCTGAATTTAAGGACGACGGATTTCCAGGTTCTCAAGATGCAGTAGTTGTTGTTTCCACTCTTCCCACTCCTCCTGGTATTTTGAGGTAGATGTTGATTCCAGTCTGTAGATTCTAGTGTCAACTTTCTCAACAGCAATTTACCTCTAATAAGAACTGGTGCTATAGATCCTAGTAGATCATAGAAGCTATTCACACAAGACAGGACTCCTCTGCGATTGCATGGCTTCTCGTCTAAGGAGAGTCTGAATGTAAATGAATCAGTTCGTAGATTCCAGCTTATCCCTAAAATACGCTGAATGGGAAGGTTATCTTTCAAAAGATCGAGTGACATCAGGTCTTTTGCAAGGTCTTCAGTAGAAAAATGTTTCATCACATCACTGCTGTTGGATACAAATATGTGAAGCCTAGGACCCCCTTCTTCCAACAAAGCTTGCTCTGTTCTCTTTATCAGGCTGCTGATTTTCTCTGCAGATGACATAGAAATCAAACCATCGTCAACATAAAAATTGCGCTTCACAAAACTGCGGACGTCAATTCCATAGGTAGCTTCAGCATTCTGTGCAGTTCCTTGAAGTTCATATGTAATTACAACAGGTGATGGACTATTGCTAAACACATGAAGGCACATCCGGTATTCTACCAACTGCTTGTGCGGATCGTTGTCTAAGTACCAGAAGAAACGTAGGTAATTTTTGTGATCTTCTCTTTTTATGTTTATGACAATAATAGTTTTCCATACTTTAGAGTGATAACAATAGATATTCCTAATACATGTATATTCAAATTACAAACATTTCATTCAAAAGCAGTATAAATATAATAAATATGCACATAATAAATAACAGATTTACTTACAGTGTGTGGCAGCATAAATCAGAAATTAAACATAATGGCATGAGTCTCCTAGTGTGGGTCACACAAAGAGAGTTAACACAGGAAGTGAGGAATTTAGGAAAAGTAACTCTGGATTTTCAAATAAAAAGATATCTCTAGACATTACAGGACAGATAACTATTTGATTAAGAAAGATAACTCTTACTCAGTAATACTTAATTTAGGAAAATAAATATAGATATATAAATAGAATGTTCATAAACATTACACTTAATATTTGAAATTTGATGACTTTTATGATGGGAGAAAAAAAATTCAATGCAGCATTACACCTGCATACAGAGGATAATGTGGCGACTGCATTGATGCTTAGGGCAAATGTATCCGCAACTCATCATCGATACATCATTGTAAATCGAAAAACAAATTAAAGAATAATCATATTCGTATGCGTACAGATAAGCTTTCAATTTCAAATTATTACATTTAAGGATTAAACGTACAGCTCTTGTTGGAGTGAATCATTAACATTTTTATCATCAATTCAATGACTAGATGTAGAGGTGTATTTTATAAGTATTTCACAATTTTAAATTGAATTTGGATTCTTCTGGTTCTTCCTTGTGAACCATGGACTGTAATTCATTTGACAATAAATATTATATATTCAAATAAGTTGAATAAGATTCGAATGTGCAAAATGGGAATCGTAAATATATCATATCATTTTAAAAAGGCCAAAATAATTTGAAAAAAAAAGATTGACAAATGTGACTTTTATGAACCAGGAAAGACTTGGCTGTCCTAACTTATCATATTTATTTTAAATAAGTAAAATTTAAAAAGTCAAAATAACTTCAGTTTTCTATTCTCAAATGTAAACTAAAATCTTTTACATAAACATCAATATTCATAAATGTTTAATTGAATACTTTTTATCAGTATATTATTTCTTAAAACATTATTATTATTATTATTATTATTATTATTATTATTATATGACCATTTTTTTTTTTAAGTTTAACGGGAGAAATAAATATATGAAGAAGGTAACTGATGTAGATTTTGAACAGCCATATTGAATGTTACAGTCTGATAAAGAGCAATTACATTCTTCTTGACATTTTCTTCCTAAATAAGGATAGCTACATTCTGAAGTGCAGTTCTCACCAAAGTTACCTGGAAGACGCTCTGAAATACGGAAAGAAAGAATTCAAAACTGTCCATAAATTCCTTCAGATATTATGTCAAAACTTTCAATTTATAGTAACGAACTAACGGATTGTATATTGAAACATATTGACATGTAGTTTTCTTGTAATCCTTTTTCTAATTTTTTTTTTTCTGAAAATGATTGGTAAATATCAGATAAAATTTCAAAAAAAATAAAAATAAATAAATAAATAAAAACCATGCATACACTTTTTTTTTGCTTTTAATTTTCTTTTTCAATAAGTAGTTATAACCACTAAAACATGCAAATACAATATCCTTTCAATTACCTTGACATATATCTTTGACTCTGTGATAATTTGTACAGCATTTGCCGACGTCAGTAGCAGCACTATAAATTAATAAATAAAACTAGATCAATGCCCCATACAACCTACAAAGCAATGTTATCATTATTAATGGCTTTACTTAACCAATATTAAACTAATTCTGGTGTCTTGTTACAGACTCCACGTGAGGCAAACTATAAACATACACAGCTACTTTGATGAGCAAACATGCATATATAGAATGCGGCAGATAAATTACAGTCAATATTACAGATAAACTAATGACTGTAATAATCTACAGCATTTTAGAAGGGAAGAACCTTGACTATTGACAATTTGAAAAGCTTTTAAAAATGTTTTTAATTTATTTTAACTAGTCATTTATAATAAGTACCGTTTAAATGAATAATTATATATCATTCACAGACCTCCTTAAAATTATTTGTGAATTAATACGTAAACTTCCTTGTTATTTTGTCCTATCAAGAAAGTTTATTGTTGACATGTCTACATCTCATAGTTTTAAATCGATTATATGTGTAACTATTAAAGTTGTTGTATATATCTACCATCCTCAGAAAATTGCAGGTGCCGATTATGCTGTGTTTTAATTACATATTAGGTTTCTTATTTAACAACCGCATGAAAATTGATGCTATTCTGACCTGCAAAAAACTTGCTCTCATGACACAAAAGTAGAGACTTAATCTAAGGAACAATATTAAATCGACTAAAAACTTTAAGAAAGATAAAGAAAATAAACAGTGTTTTGGAAAAAAGTTTACAGTGTTTAGGGTAAATAAAATTAAATTTCTACGATATACAGATTAAAGAAAATGTGATTTTTTTTAATTAAATGTCTGCATGTCTGCAATGGGCATCAGATTTCCAGACTCTGTAGATGAAAGCTCCCTCCTCCAAATTAGGTTATCTCGTATTCTACATCTATTAGCGTCGTTCCCAATTACCAGATGGAAAAATGGAGCTAACAAAGGCCATGATATGCTAAGAACTTTTTTGGCATCTGGTTTGAGGTGTCTCTAAGAACGATACAATAGTTCCTCATTAAAAACATATGTTCTTCTCTGGTGCAAGATGATTATTGATTTAATCGAGATTATTTGATTTTATATCAAATAGTGAATTTTTAATTTAGGACAGGATTTTATGTTTTGTTAGTCGGTATAAAACGCACGCAATTCATTAAATCATCATAGCAATATAGTAAGGTGTATTACGAGTAAAAGCAGGTACGAATTTACTATTGCTGTGCACCGGAAGTTACCCCCCCCCCCTTTCAAACCAGCAGATTTTGCAGCCAGACGCTTTTTCGAAGACGAGCAAAATATCCAATACCATCGGCATCCCAGAGCAAGAAATAATGTCACCAGTGAAGAGTAAAGCGACGCAAAGAACGTCCAGGAAGCGCAGAGAAAGTTTGGGAGCCCTAGCGAGAGGGAGAGGGCAATCGAAGCGATGCAGACAAAGCACCACTTCACCATCACGCCGGTCCCGGCCGAGTCGTCAGTCGGAAGCCTTCCAGAAGCTCCCCCTCCACCATCTGTGGAAGTTCACCCATCTTCGCTGACGTTCTCACCACCAACACCAAACACAAGCACCCCCGGAAGCGGTGATTTAATTTTTTCAAACCAACCTGCACAAGAAATCAGTTGCCATGATTCTTTGGGTTCACATGTACCTCAAAAAATTAAAAGCCAAAATATTGGAGGGCAAATTTATAGATCTCTTACTGCTAACTAAAACCGCTTGTGAATTGCAAGATTATGAATCACTATTTTCATAAAAAAATTTACATTTAAAGAAGGGTGTCTATGCATTGTTAAACCAAAAAGGAATACCTTTCTCACGATCGATAGGTGGATCTCGGCTTTCATCATATTTACAAGCATAATGTTGGAGAAATTTCCAACACGGGCTCAAGAACTACTTACGTATCTCAGAGATGTAAGAATTTGCTGCTACTAGGTCAAACAATTGGTTTAAGTACGATGAGCAATTTCGTTTAAAAATGGCCAACCAGGCCCAGCTGTCATGGGGGCATATAATTCAAGAATTTTGGTTCTTGTACATATCCAACAAACATGACACGTACAATAGAACCTCGGCTTCTCAAAGTCAAATTTCTTACACAAACAATCCAAACCGTACTTCGGCATTTTATTGTAATCATTTTAACAAGGGAGTAAGTTGCCCTTTCTTCCCTAGGTGCAAGTGCAGACATGCATGCAGCTAATGCGGAGATAATCACCCAAGTAACAGATGTTCAAAATACTAGCTGTATATATTCTTTGGGCACAACACCATTCAAGTTGCAAAACCTTCGTAAACACTTAGTTGGGTACTCAGACTGTGAATTTATATTGCAGGGTTTTAAGTATGGTTTTAATCTCCAATATTTGGGCCCTATGTCACCCCGCGAGTCTTTAAACCTCCCTAGCCTCAAGGCTAATATAGTAATGGCTGAAATGAAAATTCAAAAAGAAATAGCATTAAAACGAGTCGCAGGCCCCTTTCGTTCACCCACCATTTCCAATTCTTCAGGTTTCCCCTTTAGGCCTTGTGTCTAAAAAGGATGGTGGCATGCGACTCATTGGTCATCTCTCTTACCCAGAAAACATGTCCATTAATGATTTTATTGACCCTGAAGCTTGTTCAGTACATTATAGCAACATGATCAAGCGGCAGAAATGATAGCTAAAGTGCGGAAAGGGGCATATTTAGCAAAGACTGACATTAAGTCAGTATTTAGGCTGCTCCCAGTATCTCCGGGCGATTTTGACCTGCTTGGGTTCAGATTTCAGGACAAATACTACTTCGATAAGATGTTACCTTTTGGATCTTTAATTAGCTGTGCATTATTTGACAAGTTTTCCTCATTCTTACATTGGCTTACCCAAAAATACTCCCAAAATGAATAAATAATTCACTACCTTGAAGATTTTCTTTTCTGTGACTCACCAAACACATTCACTTGCCACAACTCCCTCAATGTTTTTAAATCAATCTTTTCAGATATTGGTGTGCCAATTGCCCATGACAAAACAGTGGAACCTACACAAGTCCTAACGTTCTTAGGAATAGAGTTGGACACTGTCAATATGAAATGAAACTCCCCTTGGAAAAATTAAATCAGCTTCATGGTATAATACAATATTTCTTGAAAGCAAAGAAGGTCTCCTTGAGAGAAATGCAGTCACTTATTGGCTTATTAAACTTCGCTTGCAAGGTTGTTGCCCCTGGCCGGGCTTTCTGTCGCCGCCTTATAAATTCA